ATATTTGGTTTCAATGATGTATATACATATACAAATAAACACACAAACATAAATATACATAGAGACTAACTTAACCAAAGATAGTATATGTGTGTATGTAAGGGCATGCATGTGTGTAAATATATTTAATTTATATTATTTTATTCATTTTGGTACACCAAAGTAGCTTACTATAGTTATGGAAGATCTATAACCAAAATAACAAATTAAGGGTAATTTCTCCCAAATTCTACATATATCAATTGTAAAGAAAAAGCAAGAAATATTAACATAGTTTGTTCATATCCAAATGTCAGTGGGTAAAATACTGGTTTTATCTGCTTGTGAAAGTCTCTTTCTTTTGCAACTCCTTCAGATAACTTACTATTATTTTTTGTACCATTTTCTCTAAACACCACTTTGACTATGATGGTTGTGCCCAATGATTACATTCTTTATTCCTAAGAACATCTCAGTACAAGTTAAACGTATTTCAATAGTAAACACACATACAAACACACACACACACTTCGCATGAGAAAGCTATAGTACACTATATATGCATGGTATGATTTTCCCAACCTCCTATTCATTGTCCTCCAAATCTAACTTTGAATAGTCTCAGGCAGACAAATGAATGTTTTACTACACAAGGGAGCTAAAAATAGAAAAGAAATCCAGGTATGGTACGATATGATGGATTCAAATTTTGAGGCTCTGAAGCTTATTAACTCAGAAATGCCCTCATTAAGAAAAATAATTCGTAATTTTTAATTTAAAATTGTATGCAAGGCCTTGGTCACAGCTCGTACAATTAAGGGCTTTGGATCTCAAATTTCAGTAGATTCACAACAAATCTAGTGCTTTTGACAGTGTTTTATATTCTACTCAGTAACTGACAGAGTATTATTTATCATTTATCATATATCCTTTTGTGTACTCCCTATAGCTGTTGTCTCTATAATGTATAACAATAACACTAATAATCAGAGATTGCTCCTGATCTTCCTGCGTCATCTGCCTGAATTGAAACATGGGCACATCGATGGAGGCATGGATAGACTTTTGCTTATGTCCATTAGCCTTCGATATTTGGAAGTTTTTAGACGGAACCTGTGTGCTTTGAGAGATTTGGGACATTTGCACTACTCTATTTCTTAACCGTGATTCAAAGAATATTTCATGATCACAGTTAAATTAAGGTAGGACACTAGGGTTTTTCCTCTTTAATCTGCAGCAATCATATGTCAATCTCTTCTCAAACAGTGCTCTTTAAAGTGCTCTTGATTTTCACTATGTTTCATATTTATTGTTCTTAAAATTTTTCATAAAAAATGTAATCTCTTACTGGTCTTATTGGTTTTTCAGGTCAAAAATTAGAAAAGGTGATTTTTTTTTTTTTAAGTAGCCAAATCTTCACATAGTCCTTCACCAAATGACTCTAAATTTGACATATATTATCTGAAACAAATCCTTTCTAATATGTAAGGATAGGTCTTTGGGATATTTTTATTAAAGTCTGAATGCAGATTAAACTCTGCAAGGTTAAATGACAAGGTTAAGTGTCTAATTTTGCAGCCCTTTTATACCTGGTGAGTGCTAAGGCTTTCTAATGATAGGATTAAATATGGTTTCTAGCTACAAACAGTTGCTTGTAGTTCCCTGTAGGTTAGCCTCAATATTCTGTGCTTATCACAAACTGAGAGGAAATAACTTTCTAGGCCTTTTGTGAGTCTTTTAAAATGCACAGACTTTAGGGAAATCATATTTTCTTGAAGGAAATGAGGCATGACCAATCACACAAAACGTGAGAAAATCCCTTGATAGATGACCTTTGCCACATGTAAAAGAAACTGTTCAGTGGCTGAGGTTTCATGGATTTCATGCATGGAAATCAGATTTTCTGGCCACCAGTGCTGTTCAGTAAATAAATAATCCATCATTGTGTCAAACAGTTGAAACATGGAGATACTGCCCTTGCTTATCTGAATAGACATTTCAAGTTAGTAACTTATGTAAACTGCTTCCATGTCAGCAGTTGTGTGAGTAGTGTTCTAGTTTTCACTATGTAAAATAAAACCATTTTGCTTTAGTGAGGTTAACCTAATGGTGAGTGCGTTCATTTGATGCTGCCTACACCTATGAATTCACGGGTGCATGGTGAAGGCATTAGGACGAGAGTATGGGTTGCGTGGTGTGTCAGAGCACAGTGCTAAATCATTAGTAGGCAGTTTCAGTGATAATATTAATTAGCCTACTTACTATTTTACTTAAACCAGTAACAACAGCTTTTTAAAAATACATTGGCATGATTCTCTCTGAATTCTGTTTAAATATCTACATTTTAACTACATTGTATTATTATAAAATAAAGTTGGTTAAAATGATGATCCTTCACACCAAAAGATTATTTTCATTAGGCAAGTCATACCTACTTGAGGTTATAGTCATCATTTATTTTTACTGATTTAACTAGTTTTAGTTCTTATAATTCTATATTAATTTTACTTTAGAATTTATTCACTTGTATGATCAAAGTATCAATGTATATACATACATACACACAATTAATTTAGCTCTCAGATCTATTTCTACTAATGGACCATGTCAGGTTTCCGACTTCAGCTCTGTTTCTCCTAAACAGGAAGAAATAGCCAAGTATTTCAAGTATGTTTCTGGCACTGAACACATTTATGTTGCTTTACAGATAACTCCTACATTCATCTTTCATATTTCAAATGCTTTGTTGCTAAAATGGCAGGTTCCTTCTGTTACGACAAAGAGTTTTTCTTTCCCATCTTGTCTCCTAGGTATTTGCAAACAGCACCTCACTTACAATAGTCTTTTTTACCCTTCCAGAATACAGTGGGCCTTCTTTTTTTAGAGCACAAGCAGTGCTCATTTCAAGTCTGTCCATTATTTTGAGAAAACACTTCTGAAAGTAGTCTGTGAAGTGGGTATAAAATCAGATTTATGAAAAGCCTTCCTGAAAATGAGAAAACAATTGTAAGCATTAAATGTAAAATATGTTTTCATTTCAAATAATTTAGTAAAAATACTTTATGTTTTGCCAAAAAAGATATATACTATAGCTGTATCAATTTAATTTATTTGTGTAAGAAATTAACTTTTACAAATATTTTCAGAGAAACCTATCAGATTACAGTCAAAATAAAAATTTAACTTAGTTTTTAACTATGTTGTAACAACAATTATTTTGTTTTTAATCTGGCATCTGTCTAAAACCTGTAGTCCTTACATATTTTTGGTTTAGGGTCTTATTTATTCAAAAAGGGACCCAAAGATTATGAGATTATTATTTAATCTACCAAGTAAATTAATAGAAGAAACAAAATTTATTTTTAATAATTTATAAGCAAGGAAAAACCCCAAAGAAACAGAAAAAGTTTATGTAAGTTCTTGCTTATATTCTACAACAAATTAATCGTAAGATACTTGTTTTCAACTTTGCAAGGTGAAACAACAACAAAGCTCAAAATATTTTGAATATTTTTAAGAAAATCTGTAGTTCAGGACAGTCATTTGTGGATAACATTTGTCTTGTATTAGCATTTTAAAAATATCCTCATGTTTGTGGATCACCTCACCTTAATTATGATATGTTTTTTAATCTATCATTCATCTGCCAGAGAAAGGATTTATGTCCAGGAAGCACAAAGCAATCTGACAAATCCACAAGGGTCTGCCTCAGTGAGCACTTATTATTCCCAGGCTAATCTAGGCTGAATATTCTACTTAAGCACATTTTCCAGTTTACTTCTCGAAGTTAAAATAATCTTATTTATTTATTTATTTATTTATTTATTTATTTATTTATTTATACATACATACTAAACTATGTATTAGTACATTTGGATTTTTCTTCTATTTATTTTTATTGGACATATAGTCTATGTTACCTGTTTAAAACTTAGAAAAAAGAAAAAATAGCACTGCTAACATGTGGCCAACATTAATCATAAAGTTTTGGATATTTCCAATGTTTACAATTCGAAAAATAAACAAGGGGAGGAAGACAGTACCATTTTATGCATACTATTTATATCCTGTCTAATTTTTCCACTTAATAATATATGGTGAACATCTTGCCATATCTACAGATTTAATGTATGATGTAACTAAATGAGACATTCAAGGTGCAATCAGGAAACAGGAGCCACTCTAGGAAAACGGAGTAGAAAGAAATATAATACAGGAAATTACAGGCTTAGGTGCTGCTCAATGGGATGGGAGAGTGAAGACTAGGAAGACCATATTCAAGTCAATCTGGAAGTGAAAAAACTGCAAAAAAGTTGCCACCAATGCCTACAGCCGTGTCTCAAATTTGCAAAGATAATGTTTTGGAAGAAACATTTTAGAGGCACCTGAATGGTGCCAAAACTCTAGGTACCTCAGCACTGAAGTGGGTGATCCTCTGGTGGGACCTCCATAACTACAGGATGCTTGTGTACAACTGCCTCTAGAAAACAAGGGCTCTCCTCTTTGCCTTCAGAATCTAAATGGACTGTTTTGGAAAGGGATTATAGGACTGAACTTCTGGTTTCTCCCCTGAGATGGTGGAAGTGGCAGAGATGAGGGTGAGTTGACAAAGGACATTAAAAATAGTGATCATTGTTTTAATGACTACATGCCATATCATTATGGATATACATAATTTTCTTAATATAATTTTTGGAAATGCTTCCAATTTTGCTGTTGAAAATATATACCATTTAATAATATAAGAGCTAGAAAAATAATATAGAAAGAACATAATTTACTTCAGAAAAAAATCTGATTTTTAAAAGAAATGCATGATGAACTTAATTTTCAATTTGGGTTTGGAGTCAACAATGTGTAACTCTAAATAATTATCAAAATTCAATGATTCATTATTTCATATATTTACCCAAAGCTGGCTTAAATTGATCTATTTTGTGGAGACTACTAGGAAAGGTACTCAGAGAGACGAAAATATGTTTTAAGATGAAGTTGCTGTGATCCAGACACAAGTTGGTGAGATCTAGTTTGTCATTAAAAAGACAAAGAAAAACAAACAAACAAAAGAACTCAAGGCAGTCTATGTGGCTAATTATATCAGTTTTCAAAATTTCCAATGCCAAGATTTCAAGTAAAAAATATTCCCAAGTGCAAGGACTCTCGCTGATACAGATTTGAGTAAGTTATTAATGACACATTTTGATATGGAATTTTCCTTATCTTATGGGAAAAATAATTTGATAAAACATATTAACTAAAAAAATTTCTTATACAAAAATAACAAAATAGAAATAAAATTTTTGTTTTCTAAAACATTTATTTCTTGGCTACTCAGGATCCTTTTTTTTGGTATTAACTCTTAAGTTGCCTAAAATTTAAAAATGCATTTTGAAAGAATTATATAGAAAGAAGCTTAGATAGTCAATGACATAAAAATATTCATTTCATACATCTTACTAAGAGAATAGATGATTTCTAAAAATGCTGAAATGAGAGGGAAAAGAGAGAGAGCCAGAGAGACTGTGTATTCAGAATTTTGTCTTTCAAATATCATGTTGATGTAGCCCTTACAGTCACAAATGTCAGTTTCACTCCAAAGTTCACCTATATTTTTAGGAACTTCCTGCTTAAAAATGCAGCTTCCCTCTTGGCTCAGGCATACATATTTTTTAGAAAACAGCACATTTTTGCTCCTTTGATAAAACAAAAAACACAGATATATTAGAGTCTAACTGTATAATCCTCAGCATGAGAAGCAATTCCTTCATTAAAAATAAATAAATAAATAAGGAAGAGCTAGTGTCCTACACCCTGGAGGAATCCTGAGTATGGTTTGATACCCAAGAAGAAAAGCCTTTGAAATGAATCTAATGTCACGTTATTGAAAACGTAGCTTCACAGATAAACTTTTTTCACTCTGCAATGGCTTACAAAGCTTCAAATGCCCAGAAATCTCATAAACCAGACCATTTAAGGAATCTAAATAAGCTTGCACGGTTTTAAGCTTTCTGACTTTGAATGTTAGCTTTGAAGTTTTGCCAGAACCTGACTGCAGAAGAATTGCCTTTAAACTGAATTCATGACACTGGAATTAGCATTGGAGGTTCAATATGCCTAATAATGATTTTGACCATGCTAACCATAGACAGTAATCACATATGGTATCTCTGAATTAACAACTCTCCAAAGATAAATGTGTAACATCCTGGCTCCAATATTTATTTATTTCATCTTTACACACTGGGTTTTGGATAGTGTCCAGTTTAAAGAGCCAGTTGCTTTAATGGCATATGGCATTTGTCCATGGGTAAAAGAGGATGGAAAGAAGCAAAGAAAGAAGCTTGAAAATGATTGAATTATAAATGTTCCAATATCATATTCCTTTTTCTTTGTTCTTTTTTCCTTCATTCTCTCTTTTTTTTCATTAACTGGAAAACCTATAGCAAAATTCTGGACAAAACTCCACTGTCAAGAGTCTTTTTGCCAACTTCCAACCAAGACCAGTTCTAATTCCATAAATTTCTCTGGACCTTTACTTTCCATAAGCAAATTTCTCTTCATAGCATGAAGCTAATTACAAAGCCTTTTTAATTTCAGCATATATGCTTTGTTTTCAAGTTCACAGACTTGCATTTTGCCACTCAGGAAAAAGAAAAGTCTATCATGAGGATCTCTCCTCCCATCCTAAAGTGGATGTAAATTTTTCACCTAAATAAAAGAAAAATTCCCAAGTCTATATCATGGGAAGGCAGAATCACATATGGGGAAACTTGCTGTCATCTCCAGTTCCCCAGATTTTGCAAGAAAACATCAGTGATGTTATTAGTATATAGGTCTGGTATCTGTCACAGAATTTAAGGGTAAGGATGTTGCCCTGTGAGGTTTATGATGCTGCCAACTGAAATATTTATCAGTAATTCTAATAAGAAGCAGGTAGATGTATTCAATAAGTACATACAAATAAGTTTCAGGAAACAAATGTATGTGCCTAGATCATTAGATATATACATGCAATCTCAATTAGCTATTTCAAATGTTAATCCAGAAAGAAAAAAAAATTAACTCTTCTTGATGTGATGACATTTTGTCCATTATTTTATGAGATTTTCTACTGAAGTATGATCCCAAGGTAACTAAACATATTCAGTATTTCAAATAATAATTTTAATCAATTATAAGCACCTACAGCATGTAAAAATGTCTTATACAATTGATCTGAAAACAGATAAAAAAACATAAGGAATCATGTATAGTATCTAAGTTGTCACATTTATGCAATGTGTCAAAAATTGTAAAATTTATCTTTTTTTACTTTTAGCATATAAACATAAAAGTGAAACTTAAAGAAAATCCATTGTTTTTACTATTCTTTCTAAATCCATTTTTATATCTTCAAATGCTAAAGCATTTTTAATGGAGAGTACAGAATAATTCTAGAAGGTACACTGATTTGTTGTAATTTTCATTTTCAACTAAATTGTTAAAATCCAGAATTCTTAACAAGTGGATGAGCTATAACAGGGTTTGTATCATAACTTCTTTAAAAACACTTTTATATGTAAAATCAAATGGGATAATTTATAGTGCGTGAGGTGAATGCAACTACACTGTTTATTAACAAATGCAAAAATTACATTAAAAGGAAATGGAACAACTAAATTACTGATTGACTTTGATCAATAATTAATCAGTATTAATATTTTCTGTCTGTCAGAGTGAAAACCCACACAATGACATATGCAAACATACATAATAATCACACACACATAAATACAAGCACACATACTTTTTGTTTTTCTATGGATTCTTGGATCACAAGTTTCCTTCCCTTTCTTTCCTTCCCTCTTTCCTTCCTTCTCTCCCTTCCTCCTTTATTCTTTCTTTCATTCTTTCCTTCCTTTCTTCTTTTCTTCTCTCCCTTCTTTATTTTGTTAATTTTCCTCTTATGGAGAAGATAAGTCACCTTCAAACAATGTATTAGTTACCAGGTCTGTCTATTCTGGTTTTTTAAGTCATTCAGCAATTACCGAACACTTACACGATTCCCAACTTTGGTTTTAGGCTTTGGTGACATTTAGATGAAAAAATATCTTTCCATCCTTGAGGTTTACACAGGTCTATTGGTTAGATGGATCCAATATAACACAACAAGTGCCATAACAATGGTGGACTGTAATTGGATTGTATACAAATTTGAATAAGGCAAATTTGAAAGAGTACATAAAACATTAATAAAGTTTTACTTTATATAAAAACTTTAAAATAGAGTGAATCAACTTCAAATTAAAAATTTATCACATGTGCATAATTTTAAAATTTGTAGGCAGAATGAACTATGAACTTGGCCAAATTTACTGATGCATGGTTCTGTCAACCTAGTTGGTAAAATTTGCCTACCATACTTTTTCAGAAATAAGCTTGAATTATTTGAGTTATTTTCTCAAGTGAAACTTTCCAATATATATCTCAAAACAAACACACACACAAACAAGATCAGACTATACATAAAAGATATTGTTATGAAAGAATCTAAGCCTAGATAAAGCTTCCATAAATTGCTTCAGAGATGTAATAATAACTTAAATAAACTTTGAAGTTTATGTAGGAGTTTTCCATTTAAATGAAGTAGAAAAGATTTTACCATGTTGAGAAATAAGTATATGCAAACATTTCATGTTGAAGAGTAAGTAGTTGAATGATGAGTGATGAACAGTTAGACTTGTTAGATAAGCAAAAGGCACATATAAAATAATTTGAATATATTATGTTGGTGATGATGAGTCATTGAGAGAGTAGGTTTTTAACCAACATTTCTCAACATAAGATATTATAACTAACCATTTTTTATATGTTCATAGCATCAAATGACTACCAGATCTGTCTCTCTACAATTGAATTTTGCAGTAGCAAGGGTAAAATATATTCATGTTACATATAAGGGTGAAATGATTCTATCCAAATTAATAATACTGGTGGAGACCATATTAATGTTTCCTCTCATAAGTGCTTAGCAGAGTAACTTGCAAAAGTAAGCATTCAATAAATGTTTTTTTGAATTGAATCACATACTATTTGATTAAATAAATCAGCTGTAATTTGCTTAGTTCTTTGTTTCCAGTTTGAACATTTCCTTTACTGCTTCTATTTATAATTAAGAATCCTGTAACGTTATAAAACAACTGTGTCTCAAATTTCAAATCTATAAAAGTTTTGCTTTACCTATTTCAAACTCCCTTCTGAAGATAAAAAGACACTTTGTAAAAATATAAACATTCCTTTATATGTTTAAAATGCTTAATGTAATATAATTATTCTAGTTAGTAGTAAGAACTCAATGAATATTTTAATGAATCAATGGAGAAAAATCTCTAATGATTTTCTTACATATTGTAACTCCTTGCCAACAGATATCTATTAGATTTTATATCTTAACCAAGAAAGCATTAAGTCAGAATCTATATCTTCTCCTTTTCTAGTTATTTTAAAATATATTATTGGGGAGTTTCTCCTTTTAGCTCTGGTGAACTAGTTTGTTTCAGATCATCCTTTGAGCTGAAAACCACTTGAAAACTTGACAGAAAAAAATCTGTTTGAAGTCATCCAAAAGCTACCGAGGCAGTGAGAACTTAATCCCAGAGGCAGAAGGGAAATCAAAAGAGGAGAGCTCAATATTTGGTGTTGCTCTTCTTTCAAAGCATGTACTGATTCAAACATAGCTGAAAAGCTGCACAGAGTTTATGAAGACTCACCTGGTTGATGTGGAAAAAAAGGGGGGAGGGGAAATTTAACATACATTTTAGACAAGGGAACTTGGTTAAAAAAAAAAGCCTAGTTGAGGCCCCAAAGCATTATACCTAGAAATAAAGGACTGACACCCACCTTAATACAAGTTCAATTTTGATTAGAATAAAGAGACCTCCTAGTTTATGGTATTAGAAGTAAAACTAAACTGCCTTTGGAGGAGGATAATATTAAGGTATCTTTAACTTTTTCATGTATAATATGCATCATTCATTAAAACATAGCCCAGCAATGAACAATACAAGGGGGTCACTGGAAACTAAGAGGGGAAAAAATAGAACCCCCTTTTTCTTAAATAGACCAATAGGAAATCTATACTGAAGTTATTGGATACAAATGTGTATACATAATTGTGATTAATAAATTGAATAAATGTTGAATAAATTGAATAAATTCAGGGATGAATTGAAAATTTCAGAAGACTAAAAGAAAATTAAGTAAAAAGACCAGAATTAAAAGGTACATTAATAAGATTAAGAATTAAATGAATAAGGTCTTCTATTTTTGACTAAAATGGAGTAACAGGAACCAAATTTTGCCCTCAGAATTTTTCCTGCTTGAAATAGCCAAAACCTGGAGAAAACACTTAAAACAATAGTTTTCATGAAACTAGACTTCAGACAATGATAGAAAATTACCTCTAAAGCCAAGAAAAAGAAAATAGATGAATCTAATAATTGCCCAGGATACAAGCTTGAGAGAATTTCCAGGCTATGGTTCAAGGAGTGGGTTCTCTGGCAACTCCTTGAGCCTAGAAGATGGAGCTGAGATTTGGAGAGACCAAGGCAAATGGAGTTTATAGAGCATACTTCTGGACAGGTGGAGGGTTCTCATAGAAAAAAAAATGGATATCTACAGAGGATCATTTTAGAGTATTCAGCAGAGTACTGATCAGGCCGTGTTGATTGAACTATATAAGACAAAAGAAAACACCCATAAGAACACAAGTTATAGTGCCTAGCTGGCAATTACACAGGGTCAGGACTAGAGCTGGTTTCCACCAATCAGACTGGAAACTTCATAATTCATGTGACATTAGGTGGAGATTCAGAGAAAAATTTCTGGAGAAAAATTAGCCCTAAAATAAGCACTGCTCTGGTGCTGCCCAACTAATAATAAAAGTAAGTACTGAAAGCATCAAACCGTTTCCAAGTTCATTTAACTGCATTCTATAACAAAGATCAAGAGAATTTATAGGAATACAAAATATCAGGCATATAACAATGTAAAATTCACAGTATCTGGCATTCAATGGAAAAATTACCAGGCATGAAAAGAAGCAAGAAAATGAAACTCATGAGGAAAAGAAAAGCAAGTTAACTGAAACAGATTCATAAATGACACAGGTGTTAGACTTAGCAGTAAAGGATATTGAAATGGCTATAAGTATATGTGGCCTATGTTCAAAAAGATAATTACAGACATGGAAGATATACTCAAATAAAAATTCTCGCATTAAATTATATACCAGCTATGATAAAAAATACAGTAGATACAATAATACCAGGTTTGACAATACAGAGAAAATATTGTTAAATTTGAATTGAATTTGTTATAGTAATAGACAATTCAAAACATAACACAGAGAGGAGAAAAGAACTTAAAACTGTAAAGAGCATCACTGACTTGTAGAACAACTTTAAGTGGCCTACTTTTAAGATATAAAGCTGGAAAATTATCCAAATTCCATAAAAACTATTAACCAAAGGTCCAAGAATTTCAAGGAACCCCAAGCAAAAGAAGCATAACGAGAACAAGTGCCAAGGGACATAATAATCAAATTGCTCAAAATCGGGAATGCAGAAAAATATCCTAAACACACCAATAAAAATATTTTATGTATAGGGGAATACATTTAAGATTGACAGCAGCTTTTCTATTGGGAAAAATGAAAAAAAAGAAAAGAAAAAAGAAAGAAAGAATAGAAAAGGGAAAAAAAGATATAGTGGAGGAACACAAGTTATTGGGGAAAAAAAGGCCAACTCAGAATTCTGTACACGGTTTGAATTTTTTTTTAATGAAGGCAAATTAAGACTTTTTAGACATATGAAATCTAAAATACTTCCTTTCCTGTGGCCCACAGTACAACAGATATTAAAGGAAATCCTTCAGGTAGAAAAAAAAAAGTGATACTAAATGAAGATAGGAATCTACACAAAGTAACAGGGCTACTAGAAATGGTAACTACATGGACAAATAAGTAAGAAATGTTTTCTTATTATGTAAATCTTTTTGAAAATATAATTCTCTCTTTAAAATAGCATCAATGTAGTGTAGGTTTATAATATTAAATGCACAATGTATTGAAATAATAACATAAAGTCTGGGGGATTCTTATTCTACATGTGACATGGTATAGTATCAATTGAAAGCAGATTGTTGTAATTTAAACATAAGTGCTATAAACTCTAAGTCAATCACTACAATAACAAAACAAAATCGTGACAAATAAGTCATAAATGGTGGGATGAAAATTGTAGAAAATATTTCATTAAAAATAAAGCACAAAAAGTGGTAAAAGAGAGCAAAGATCATATGAGATAGAAAACTAGTATCAAGATAAGAGACTGCAATCTGACCACATCAGTAGTCACATGGAAAGTAAATGATTTAAACATTCCCAATTAAAAGTTAGAGATAGAATGGAGAATAGAACAAGATCTAATGATTTACTACCTACAAGACATACACTTTAAATATAAAAACACAAATAGGCTATATGTAAAAGGATGGAACAAGATATACCGTGCCAACACTAGTTAAAAGAAAGATGAATTAACTATATTAATTTCAGACAAAGTAAATTTCAGACCAAAGAATTTTACGAAAAATAAAAATGGTCCTTTCATATGATAAAAGGGGCTAGTTCATCTGGAAGCCCTAATAATCCTAAATGTCCATACTCCTCACAATAGAGTTTCAAAATACATGAAACAAAAACTGCTAGATTGAGATAAAAGAGAAATGCATTATTTGTAATCAGAGTTTTCACTACTCATCCCTCATAATTAAAACAAGAAGACAGAAGATCAGTAAGACTATGAAAGGCTTAAAGCAACTTGAACTGATTGACATTTGTAGAACATTCCAACCAGGACATCAGAATACATACTCAGTTCAAGTGCATTTAACAGTAATTCCTCAAAAGAGATTAAAACTTGTCTGAAGTAAAAGGAGAAATAAACAAATTCACAATCACAGAGTGAGAAATTCTCACACCCCTCTCTCAGTGAATGGCATAACAAGCCAACAACAACAAAAGTTAGTAAGTGTATAGAAGAATGGAGCAAATATGAAGAATTTAGCTAATTGAAATACATGGAATATGACACCTAAAAACTGGATAACATTTATTCTTTTCAAGTACACATGGAATACTTACCAAAAAAGACAATATGTTGGTCTATGATGTGAATTTTAATAATTTTTTAAGGATTAAAATTATAAAGAATAGGATTATTTTCCACAATATAATTAAACTAAAATTCAAAAATGAAAGGTAAAAAATTCTAATTTTTTAAAAATTATATCCCTTTAAATAATCCATGAGTCAGAGGACTATTTAACATAATTAGATAACATTTGGTAATGTTCTGAACTAAATTATAATGAAAAAACTACATATTGAAATTTGTGGGATTCAGCTAAAGCCATGCTCTGAAGGGGATTCACAGACTTCAAAGTACACATTAGAAAAATATTGAAAAAAACTAATTATCCATGTGTTCATATCAAAACTTATAAAAGGAACATAAATTTAAAAAGCAGAAGGAATAACTAATAAAAATGAGCCCAGATTTTAATGAAATAAAAACTAACAAACTGAATGGATGAACAAAGGCAATGCTGTTGTTTGAAAAGGCTAATAAAATAACATCAAATCCTTGGCAAGACTGAATGAGGGAAGGTACAATAACCAGTATCAGGAATTAAAAAAAAAAAGCATTCATGTTCCTAGATTCAGTAAAATCTATTTTCTATTAATTACATTAGACACCCATCTCCTTTTATCACTGAATTTTAATGTAGACTACATTTAAATTTTTTTTCACACTTAAGAATCACATCCACTTTGTACCTGACTAGGCAATTTATAGTAAAGTTTAATGACCTTTAATTTTTCTGAACTACTTTTAACTATATGTGGACTGACTTCTGAAAAATAAAGCCTTGGCTCTTTAATAAAAATTATTATTTCCATTTACTTTTAATTTTCAAAGAAAATGACTATTATCCTAACAACCTTCGATGGTGACTAATCATTTTTTTTAATTTTTAGAATACCATTGTGAGTTCATGAATTCGTTTTTATTTTGTTTTAATAAATTATAGTCTTTTTTTCTATATTCAGATTTTCTTCTTATATGCCAGTGAGAGCTTCTTCAGGTTGACTCATGTGTCCTTTTCACATGACATTAGTCTTTGCCAAATTCCTTGATTCATGGAAAAGATGCTGTAGACTCATTTTGTACATCCATATCTTGCTCTAGACCTGGAGTCAGTCATTTCTCTAAGGAGTCCTGGTTCCCTTAGTGGTAAATTTTATTTAGCAACCACAAGTGGATGCTCATTGTCAATGGACTGCTTTTGATTTTTGCTTGTGGGTAGAACTAGGGAATACTTATTTTTCAGAGGAAAAAAATAAGTTTATACTATATCACAAATTCAAATTCAAGATTATAGAATTTTACTTGACCTAGCTGATTTTATGTTCATATCTCTTTTTCCCTATAACAAAATTTTAGTTCAAATAATATTAGCATGTTGGCTAATTTCTTTAAATATACAAAAATTAGTTTCAAAATGAAAATACTTATATTACTGCAACTAATAATCCTGTTGAATGTGGCTCAAGAGTTCTCTCCCTCCTTTATTTCGTTAGCCTGTATCTCACTAGAGATACATAGTCAAAATGCATTGTTTCACAGTACTTTGAAATAATTCTCTTTTCTCTATGGTTATGGCACCATGCAATTATACTTTTGAAAAATATTCCATTAGTTGGACTTTTTGAATGGCTTATAAATTAAGGGGGGTATATTTGCTCACATAATTAAAAAGTGCAGAGGTCAAGAGGATGAGAAGACGAGGAACAGACTGGGAGAAAATACTTGCAAATACATATCTAATAAAGAAATATTATCTAAAATATATAGATAACTCTTAAAAATTCAACAATAAGAAAATAAAAACCCTATTTATTTAAAAAACATACAGACACCTCAACAAAGTAGATGTACACATGGCAAATAATCATAGGAAAAGATGTTTCTTTTTTAATTAAAACAATGAGATACCACCACACACCTCTTA